TCAGTATTACTTCGTTCAGTTACGTATTGCTGTAGATTATCGACTTTTCGGGAAGTAGATTTTCCAATTTGAAATATTACCTAATTTTGCAAGTAGATAATCATAAAAGCAGGAAATTTGTATCATAAAAATAGAAATATCTACTTTCCGGGAAAAGTTGGTTATCTTTCGAAAAAGTAGATAGCTTTCTACTTTTGGAAAGTAGATTATCGACTTTTCGGGAGTAGATTTTCGAATTTCGGGAAATATTACCTAATTTAGCGAAGTAGATTATCTCATAAACAGAAATTGTATCATAAAAATGGGAAATATCTACTTTCCGGAAAGTTGGTTATCTACTTTCCCGAAAAGTGAAGTAATTTTCTACTTTTCGGGAAAGTAGATTATCGACTTTTTGGGAAATAAATTTTCCAATTTTGGAGGAAATATTACCTAATTTTTACGAAGTAGATAATCATAGAAAACAGGAAATTTGTATCATAAAAAACGGGAAATATCTACTTTCCGGGAAAGTTGAGTTATCTACTTTCCCGAAAAATGAATTTACACTTTTCGGGAAAGTAGATTATCGACTTTCGGGAAGTAGATTTTTTCAATTTTGAAATATTACCTAATTTTGCGAAGTAGATAATCATAGAAAACGGAAATTTGTATCATAAAAAATGGAAATATCTACTTCCGGGAAAAGTTAGTTATCTACTTTCCCGAAAAGTAGATAGCTTTTCTACTTTTGGGAAAGTAGATTATCGACTTTTCAGGGAGTAGATTTTCGAATTTTGGAAATATTACCTAATTTTACGAAGTAGATTATCATAAACGGGAAATTTTATCATAAAAATGAGAATATCTACTTTCGGGAAATTGGTTATCTACTTTCGAAAAGTAGACAGATTTTCTACTTCTCAGGAAAGTAGATTATCGACTTTTCGGGAAGTAGATTTTCAGGCCAGAAATATTACCTAATTTTTGCGAAGTAGATTATCATAGAAAACAGGAAATTTGTATCATAAAATGGAAATATCTACTTTCGGGAAGTTGGTTATCTACTTTCCGGGAAAGTTCAGTTATCTACTCGAAAATTTTGGAAAATTTTCGAAATTTTTGAAATTTTTGGAAGAATTTTTGGAAAATTTTGAAAATTTTGAAAAATTTTGGAAAATTTTTGAAAATTTTGAAAAATTTCGAAAAGAATTTTGCAGGAAAATTTGGAAAATTTTATTTGCAGAGTATTCAAGATCCTAAATTTCTCAAGATTACTCCAATTTACTCAAGATTTTCAAGAGTTACTCAAAATTTTCAAAATTTCAAAAATTTTCAAAATTTTCGAAAAATTTTGGAGTTACGGAAAATTTTGAAAATTACTCGAAATTACTGAAAATTGAGAGTTTGAATTTGGAAATTTTGGAAATAGATTACTGGAAGATTTTCGAAAGTTTCTGAAAGTTACTGAAAATTTTGAAAAGATTTTGGAGGATTTTTGAAGATTGCGAGTTGCGAAGTTATCGAAAAGTTACTGAGATTACGGAAAATTTTTGGAATTTTTCGAAATTTTTTGGAGAATTTTGAGGATTTTGGAAAAATTTTGGAAGGATTACTGGATTGAAATTTTGGAGAATTTGAGATTTTTGGAAGGTTGCAGAAAGTTACTGGAAATTTAAAGGTTACTTGGAGAATTTTGGAAAATTTTCGAGATTTTGGAAATTCCTCCCAAGGTTTCTCCCAGGTTACTCCAAGATACTTTCAAGATTCCTGAAATTTCCTCAAAGATTTCCAAAGTTTCAAAATTATTCAAGGTTTCTCAAGTTTTCAAGAATTTTCGAAATTACTCCCAAAGTTACAAGGTTTCCAAAATCGTTCAAAATTTTCAAAATTTTTCCAAAATTTTCAAGAATTTTGAAAATTTTCGAAAAATTTACACTGAAATTTTGGAAAATTTTGATTCCTCGAAAATTCTGGAAATTTTTGAATACTGAATTTCGAAAATTATTGGAAATTTTGAAATTGGGAAAATTTTCAAAAATTTTCCAAATTTTCGAATTTTCAAATTCTCAAAATTTTGGAAAATTTTGGAAGAACCTACAAATTTTCCAAAATTTTCAAAATTTTCAAAAATTCGAAAATTTTGGAAAATTTTGGAAGACCTATCCAGGTGATCCCTGGGTGCCTAAAGTTCAGGTGATCCTGGGTGCCTAAAGTTCAGGTGATCCTGGGGTGCCTAAAGTTCAGGTGGTCCTGGGGTGCCTAAAGTTCAGGTGATCCTAGGTGCCTAAAGTTCAGGTGATCCCTGGGGTGCCTAAGTTCAGGTGATCCCTGGGGTGTCTAAAGTTCAGGTGATCCCTAGAGTTGCCTAAAGTTCAGGTGATCCCAAGGTGCCTAAAGTTCAGGTGATCCCTGGGGTGCCTAAAGTTCAGGTGATCCTAGGTGCCTAAAGTTCAGGTGGTCCCTGGGAAAATTTTGGAAATTTTTGGAAAATTTTGGAGAATTTTTCGAAAATTTTGGAAAATTTTGGAAATTTTGGAAAATTTTTGGAAATTTTGGAAAATTTTTGGAAAATTTTGGAAAATTTTGAAAATTTTGAAAATTTTCGAAAATTTCAAAATCCAAAAATTCCAAAAATTCCTCAAAATTTTCCAAAATCTCAAAAATTTTCCAAAAATTTTCCAAATTTTTCCCAAAATAGATCACCGGCGTCAAGAATTACAATAACTGCATAAGGGAAGGAGGGAGGGAGGTGGTATGTGGGAGTGAGGGGTGGTATGTGGAGGGATGGAGGGGTGGTATGTGGATGGAGGGAGGGGTGGTATGTGGAGGGAGGGAGGGGTGGTATGTGGAGGGAGGGAGGGGTGGTATGTGGAGGGAGGTAGGGGTGATATGTGGAGGAATGGAGGGGTGGTATGTAATTCTGTCATTACTAAGGAATAACCAAGTTTCGGGACTCAAATAAAGAAAGCATAGCTACATGCTTTGTGGACTGTTAAGTTAGAGTTGTGACCTTATGGAATAATCTACCAGCCTCTGATGTAAGTGTGTTATTTTAAGTTCACGCTTAACCATCACCAATTGACAAAAGTGAACAACAGAGGATTGTCCAACTGCCCAGAGAGAGTAAGCTGAGAAGCAGAGGCAAATCACAAAATAATCATAAATAAAGACTGTTACTGTACCAGAACTAGCCTTGAATTTTATGCCATAGAATAACACTGGCTATGAAAAGGGACTTTCTCACAAACACACACACATACAGTACAAGTTTTGTATTGGATAAACAGGGTGACCATAAACCTGGAGTCATACACAAGATGTACTAATATTTTATTTTTTATTTAATGTATGAACTTTGTGACATTTTATATTCATAAAAGTTTTGTTAAACATAACTAATCACATATCTGGCAAACACTTACTGGTTACATCTGGGCCACTTGTTTAAAATTTAGGGGCTTACAACTCACTACTATGATATTTTAATCAGCTGAAGAGAGCATGAAGATTGTGTATCACTAGAAAGGATAAGTTGACCAATGTGGAATCAATCTTGTATAAAATATGTTTAGCAACTACACATTTCATGAAATAAACAAATAGTTCAGCATACCTGTGAGTCTGGATTTTTTAAATTCATCCTGTATTGTACAATCAATATGATAAAAAATTATTTTCAGTTACTCTACTCATATGAAAAACTATACTACAGTAAACCCTTGCTATTTGCAGGGGTTAGTTTCCAAGGAATGACGCAAATTGGCAAAATCGCGAATAGCAACTTATACTACCTTATTGCACTACTGTACTGTACTATACCTTTACTGTGAAAGAGAAACTTAGTCACCAATACTACTCTCCTCGTATGTGGAAGTTTGGAGTTTGATGAAGTGTACTGTACAGTTGGATGAAATCTGATTACTGAAGTATAGGCGGTTCATCAGGATCATTGTTGGAGGAGAGTGATGGCGGGTGGAGCGGCGGCGGCGGCAGCAGCTGACCGAGTAGGCGACGGAGATGAATCAGTTGGGCGAGCTGCTGGTTCTTTTTTTAAAAACATTGTGAGCGGCAGTTGTTTCCTCTTGGCTTTGAGGTCTCTAAGCGCTTTACTCCACTGACACTAGGCAGTCTTTTAGGGGACATTTCATACAAACACTAAAATTTTGAGTACGTACAACACAAGATATGCTGTGTCTCAGGCAATGGTCGAGTGCAAACAAAGGGAGAGGAAGGAGCTGAGTATATGGGAGTGACTCATTGCACTACAGGAGAGGCTCATAAGCTGGCCACCAACTGCTTACCACAAAGTCTAAATTGCAAATCCACGAATAGCAAGGGTTTACTGTACTGTACAATAGTATAAGAAATGAAGATATACTTTATAGATTGAGAATTACATGAAGATTGTTCAGGCTTCTACCAGTTCATCGTCATTATCCTTCTCGACTTGTTCGTCCTCATCTGTCAGTAAGCCACTCTTCAATAACCTAGATCTTCGTCTCTGCATGGTGATTCCCACTGCAGCAACACCTATAATTGCCGCCACACCTGAGAAAGATGCAGCCACAATTTTGAAAAGGCGTTTAATGCGGTCACTGTAAGCACTGCCTGGTAAACACACAGCATCTTTCTTAGCAAAGGGCTCACTGGACTTTGTGGTCAGATAAAATATGCCATCCAATCTGAAAAGAATCATAAATCACTTATTTCTTCTGTATAAATATAAAAGAACGAAATGTGAAATCCCACATGTGAAATTGACCTTTGTGGTTTGCTACCACTAAGTAACTAAAGGAAGGGAAAGGAAGGAATGTAAGCTTTGGAAGTGAAGAGGAAAATGATACATAAAATAAAACTCCATACCATGACATACAGTATAAAAGTAAAACAGGGATAATACTCCTTACCCTGACATATAACAGTAAAACAGGGATAATACTCCTTACCCTGACATATAACAGTAAAACAGGGATAATACTCCTTACCCTGACATATAACAGTAAAACAGGGATAATACTCCTTACCATGACATATAACAGTAAAACAGGGATAATACTCCTTACCATGACATATAACAGTAAAACAGGGATAATACTCCTTACCATAACATATAACAGTAAAACAGGGATAATACTCCTTACCATGACATATAACAGTAAAACAGGGATAATACTCCTTACCATGACATATAACAGTAAAACAGGGATAATACTCCTTACCATGACATATAACAGTAAAACAGGGATAATACTCCTTACCATGACATATAACAGTAAAACAGGGATAATACTCCTTACCATGACATATAACAGTAAAACAGGGATAATACTCCTTACCATGACATATAACAGTAAAACAGGGATAATACTCCTTACCCTGACATATAACAGTAATAACAGGGATAATACTCCTTACCATGACATATAACAGTAAAACAGGGATAATACTCCTTACCATGACATATAACAGTAAAACAGGGATAATACTCCTTACCATGACATATAACAGTAAAACAGGGATAATACTCCTTACCATGACATATAACAGTAAAACAGGGATAATACTCCTTACCATGACATATAACAGTAAAACAGGGATAATACTCCTTACCATGACATATAACAGTAAAACAGGGATAATACTCCTTACCATGACATATAACAGTAAAACAGGGATAATACTCCTTACCATGACATATAACAGTAAAACAGGGATAATACTCCTTACCATAACATATAACAGTAAAACAGGGATAATACTCCTTACCATGACATATAACAGTAAAACAGGGATAATACTCCTTACCATGACATATAACAGTAAAACAGGGACATATAACAGGATAATACTCCTTACCGACATAAACAGTAAAACAGGGATAATACTCTACCATAACATATAACAGTAAACATGACATATAACAGTAAAACAGGGATAATACTTTACCTGACATATAACAGTAAACAGGATGACATATAATATAAAACAGATAATACTCCTTACCATGACATATAACAGTAAAACAGGATAATACTCCTTACTAAGACATATACCAGTAAAACAGGGATAATACTCTTACCATAACATATAACAGTAAAACAGGGATATTACTCCTTATACTATGACATATAACAGTAAAAACAGGGATAATACTCCTTACCATAACATATAACAGTAAAACAGGATAATACTCCTAATTCTGACATATAACAGTAAAGGAGCACACTTTACCCTGACATAAAACAGTAAAAACAGGGATAATACTTACCATGACATATAACAGTAAAACAGGGATAATACCCTTACCCCAGACATAAAACAGTAAAACAGGGATAATAATTTACCATAACATATAACAGTAAAACAGGGATAATACTCCTTACCCTGACATATAACAGTAAACAGGATAATACTCCTTACTACACATATAACAGTAAAACAGGGATAATACTCCTTACCATGACATATAACAGTAAAACAGGGATAATACTCCTTACCATGACATATAACAGTAAAACAGGGATAATACTCCTTACCATGACATATAACAGTAAAACAGGGATAATACTCCTTACCCTGACATAAAACAGTAAAACAGGGATAATACTCCTTACCATGACATATAACAGTAAAACAGGGATAATACTCCTTACCCTGACATATAACAGTAAAACAGGGATAATACTCCTTACCATGACATAAAACAGTAAAACAGGGATAATACTCCTTACCATGACATATAACAGTAAAACAGGGATAATACTCCTTACCATAACATATAACAGTAAAACAGGGATAATACTCCTTTCCATGACATATAACAGTAAAACAGGGATAATACTCCTTACCATGACATATAACAGTAAAACAGGGATAATACTCCTTTCCCTGACATAAAACAGTAAACAGGGATAATACTCCTTACCATAACATATAACAGTAAAACAGGGATAATACTCCTTACCCTGACATAAAACAGGGATAATACTCCTTACCATAACATATAACAGTAAAACAGGGATAATACTCCTTTCCATGACATATAACAGTAAAACAGGGATAATACTCCTTACCATGACATATAACAGTAAAACAGGGATAATACTCCTTTCCCTGACATAAAACAGTAAAACAGGGATAATACTCCTTACCATAACATATAACAGTAAAACAGGGATAATACTCCTTACCATAACATATAACAGTAAAACAGGGATAATACTCCTTACACTGACATAAAACAGTAAAACAGGGATAATACTCCTTACCATAACATATAACAGTAAAACAGGGATAATACTCCTTTCCATGACATATAACAGTAAAACAGGGATAATACTCCTTACCATGACATATAACAGTAAAACAGGGATAATACTCCTTTCCCTGACATAAAACAGTAAAACAGGGATAATACTCCTTACCATAACATATAACAGTAAAACAGGGATAATACTCCTTTCCATGACATATAACAGTAAAACAGGGATAATACTCCTTACCATGACATATAACAGTAAAACAGGGATAATACTCCTTTCCCCGACATAAAACAGGGATAATACTCCTTACCATGACATATAATGGTAAAACAGGGATAATACTCCTTTCCCTGACATAAAACAGTAAAACAGGGATAATACTCCTTACCCTGACATAACGGTAAAACAGGGTAGCCAGTTCCACCACTGATTCTCATAGTTACTGTACAATACTTCATTTTCTCTGATGCTAATTTATTTTTGGTTATATGTGTACGTATTTCATAACTAAAGACTAAAATAGTACGTCCACTATTCCAAACCATCATTCCTTGGACAAATCGAAGATTGTGTCTAGTCAGGAATACCAAATGACAAGTTGTAATTATGGTTATGTTTTGAATATAAGCCTCCAGGTTTTAATATTCATCATCCAAAGCTGGGAAGATACTTCTTTATTAAACTGTACAAGTACATTTTCTGATCCATAATCAACTATATTAATATAGAATTTCATTAAAAAAAATAATATACCCTCATCTAAATGACTATTTCATATTTATAAAAAAACTGTCATGCACTTTACCTGGTATTGACGAAGTAGCCCATGTATTGAGCATCATCTCCACACGAACAGTTACCTGCCTCGTACTCTTTCCAGTGTGAGCAATTCCGGGCTAAGAATAATGTGCTGTCGATCCCATAGTCAAGGCTTTCAATATAATATTTGTATGCCAATTCATGGTCACAACCAATTTCGCCTGCAAATGAGATAGTGTTAGAAGCTGAGGCAGGTTTGGGGGAGAGTTTGCCAGTGAATCCTTCTCCTTTAATGATTCTTAAAAAATAAAGTTCCAGTATTTAAATTATATCACCTAACTTCAGTGAAAGAAAAGATTAGTCACTACTATAATATCAGCTGAAACCATTCACCATTGGCACCACAGCAGTTGTGGTGTAACCTTGGATGGCTTCCACAACACATCATTTGACTGCTGTGTAATAGCTATAGACTATTGGGTTTCCACTTCCAAAATAAGTTTTGTAATCACACAAATAACAATGAATGAAACCTTTGAATTACTGGCAATGTGAATTAAACATATTTTCAACTCGACTCACAGTCAAATTTACACATAGCTTCTTGAGGCACAAACTGTCAGTTTGGAAATTCTCTGTACTTAGTCATCCAAATGATGTTTCAATGCATAGGGTATACCAATCATCCTCACTGAAGAACATCCATTCCTGATGATACTAGTATAGTAACCATTGCAATTATTAAACCTCTGTTAGTCAGAGCACTTTAAGAAACAGACAAAAGACAAAAATTATAAGCAGCATTTCTGTCGACAGAGGGTCTGTATTGATGGACAAAAATTTTAGCGTAGTACCTAACCTTGAGCTAGCAGTGAGTGATGTTGTTCACGAATTACCTGGCTTGAATTCTCCCAAATATTTTTTTGATAAGGTGTACCAGATGGGTAGCCTTGAGTCTATGCTCATTGAAGGCAGTGTGGCTGGCCTTGAATATCATTGCCAATAAGCATTTCAAGATAGAGGAAGATGAACACGTAAGAAAAATGAGAGAAATAAACTTTGTTTTAAACCCACAGTAGGTGTGATGCCTAAGGGAACTCTTGTCACTACCCATATCGTTTGTTAACTATTTACAACCCAGGCCCTTCTTAAACTCAATATCCGTTATTCCGTAGTAGGCAGTAGGCAGCTATCAAACAGGGAGGTACTACCACCTGGGAGAATATTGGAAGCATAATATATTATCCAATGGTAGACCCTGCTGCCATATGGCATCACGAAAATTGTGAAGAAGTCACAGGTGGCTGATCTGTCTTTCTGCCTCATTTACACACAATTGCAGGGTCTCAATTGTGTCTCTTACCATTGACAACACAACATATATAACTTTTCTCACTCCTGATCTGTTTTATTCTTTCTATTCTTTTATTCTCCTATAATATCAGTTGACAATAATATTAAAGCAGGGCTTTCTCGGATGGGTCCCACTGGTCGGGAAGGTTGTGGACCCCAGAACCGACCTGGTTATCATCAAACTACTGGGACCTCAACTGACGCCACTGTGGTTGCTGGAGGGTCATCTTCTTTCACAATTCATTTCTCCAACATTCGTGGCCTGAGATCCAATTTTTCTTCTGTGGAGCACCATCTATTAACCTCTTCCCCCGACCTCTTACTACTAACTGAACTTCAACTGACCAAAGCAGCTTCACCAGAACCTTTTCAAGTCTCCAATTACAACCTTTATACCCCTTTCCATTCAAATGGAGATGTATGCACCTACTGCAACACACATTCACCTATAGCTGACTCACAGATCTTGAATCTTCTCTTTAAGATGTCATCTGGCTCAAAATATCTCTACCAACTATAACTATTTTTCTTTGTTTCCTATACTGTTCTCCCAACTCTATCAACTATTTGGAGTTCTTTGACTATCTCACTTCTTGCCATGAGATGTTGCTATCCACACACCCCAACACCGAGATCCTCTACCGAGAGGATTTCAATCAATCTCTCGCTCTTTCTCTACCAATAGTGGTGTCCCACAGGGTTCTGTTCTTTCACCTTCTCTCTTCCTTCTTTTTATCAATGATTTACTTCACACTAAGATTAATTCTATCCATTCTTACGCTGATGATTCTACTCCTCACTCTTCACATTTTCCCTTCCCCCTAATTCTCAAACTAGATCGGTTACTAGAGCTGATAACATTTCATCTATCAATCAGTATTTACCCATTACAATTTCAAAACTAGATGATCCCCCACCAATCACATTTCAGGATGCAATCATTCTGCCAAGTTCTAAAATAGATATGCCTCACCATTTCCTCTAATATGTCATGGAAGCCACACATCCACAACATTGCTAAAGCTGCCTCCCAAAAGCTGGGAATGCTGTACAGATGCTGTAGCTACTTCAATCCTGAGCAGTTGCTTCAAGTTTATAAGGGATACATTCGTCCTAACTTGGAATACTGCTCTCATATCTGGGGTGGCTCTTCTTATGTCCAACTGTTAGATAGGGTGGAATCAAAGGCATTTTGTCTTATTGACTCTCCTCCTTTAGTTGATATCTTTCTTCCCTTTCTCTTTGCCACAATATTGCTTCACTCTCTCTCTTTTACAGGTACTTTAACGGGCAATGTTCGGTGGATTTGGCATCCTGTGTACTGCCGGCAAGGCCGTGGGCTCGTAACACTCCAAGTGCCTGTGGTGCCCACCTTTTCTCTGTGGATGTCAGTCACACTAGAATAACCCGTTATAGTATATCCTTCTTTCCTCACACAGCCAAACTGTTGAATGCTCTGCCTTCTTCTGTGTTTCCATACTCATACAATCTGTCTCACTTCAAAAAGCTGGTTTTCCAACATCTTCGTGGTGAAGATTAGTATCTTTTTCTTTTATATTTTTAATTTATTTTTAATCTTATTTTTTTGCTCCCGAGGACCTGTTGTGGGTTGATGATCTGTGCCCCCTTTTCCCAATGAACTAAAGCGTCCACATTAACGAGTTTGTTCAGGAACATAACTCTCACACATGTGCAGGGTTAACTGGGCTACAGTTTGAGTACACTGTACTGAGAGGAGGGATGTATACCTATACGATATAAGCTCTACAATACTTTTATTCTGGATAGTCCAATAAACTTATTCGCCCAGTATTGTAAAATGATTTATTAGTATACTGTATTTGCTTGACTCTGGTCACCCTGCAGTACACTATACTGTAGTTGAAAAAAAAGACAGAAAAATAATAATGGAGGGGAACTCTAAAACTTGACCCCATTTTCATCAAAAAGACAAAAATTTACAAGCTGCATTATACTGTATGCAAAACAGCATACACTAAAGTACTGAATATAAAACATTTACCATTAACTTTCTGACAAGCTGGTTGATGCTCTCCTCCATTAGGCCAGAAATCACTGTGGCCAATATTCTCATTGATGCCATAACAATCCTGTGAAAGAGAAGTTAATAAAAAAAAATTTCTACAGGAAAAGTATCAACAAATAAGAAAGTATAAAAGTTTGAATACTGAAAAGCTATTCTATGCCTCAGAAGATGAACCAGAGACCTGTAAGAGACACCACTACAAAGTACAGGTAATGTACCTTACAGGCAAACCCTGTGTATTCAAAAAGTGTCTATTTACTTGACAGCAGGGGACACTATCCTGATGGGTAATGCATTGAGCTCATTGCTACTTTCCAATCCAGTCAAATCTGTATGAATCCACATGTGTTTGGTAATTCTCAGCTCTACACTTCACTGCCCAAAACCCATAATTCATTAAAGACTTGCATATACATTGTGAAAAATGCTGTGCCACACAAGACTGGTGTAAATAAAGTGTGAATCAGCTGTAAGTGGACCATGATATGTAATGGGCACTAAACAAATTTAATTATTGTGAATTCAGTGTCATAATTAAACATTTTACAGTATTCTGACTTTACATCACATGCTTGACCCCAGCACTGCTCTCCTTTACCATAAAAATTTGTTTTACACAATGCTAAAGCCTTCATATTCTTTTCATTCATCCAATCTTCCATTACTCATTATTTCATCATCCTGACTCCATCTATACATAGAGTACCTCATTACACTCAGCTAAACGGGACAGACTCCAGTCCGGAAAATGCAAGTCCGAAAAAAGAAAATGCATGGACATACAGTAAAGGCATCCCCCGTGTTACGGAAGGGTTCCGTCCCTGGAAAATTGACTGTATAGCGAAATTCCGTAACGCGAAACCTATTTTCCCATTGACTTCCATTATAAAACTGGAGATGCATTCCTATGGATTTTTTTTAGGCCCCAAAAACGTAATTCAAGCACTTTTATGAATGAAAATAAACATTTATAAACACATACAATACAGTACATTAAATAATTTATGATATACATGTAATATGAAGAGAAATACAGTTGGAATAAATAAAAATATTGTACTGTACTTACCACAAAAGATGTTGACTGCTGCGTGAGGATTGGTGGTGCAAAGGAAGTTATTGGGAGGGAGAGGGAGAGGCAATACTCTCTTCTGCCCTGCCCTGTAAATCATCATCTGCTTCATCATCTGCTTTCAGCTTTTCTCTGAGGATGAATAACTCATCCAAAGGTGTTTGACGTTTACGGCGCACCTTCTCCTTGTACAGCTCAGTGTAGGAACTGAGAGCATTGTTAACTGCTCGTGCAATCTTGATGTTCCTTTCACAGTTGGGGTCGTTATCAGCAAAGATTTGCAGACCTTCCTGTATTAGTGCAAACGCTTTAGACATATCCTTTGTTGTCAACTGAAGTGGGGTGGGTGGAGTAGCAGCTTGAGCACTTGACCTAATTTTTTCCTTATTATCACGGATTGTTTCCACTGTTGAAGTAGCAAGACCTAATGCTTTTGCAATCTGGCTAAGTTTTTCTCCAGCATCAAACCTTCTTAAAACGTCAAGTTTAATATCCAATGTAATGCCTTTGCGGCTTCTTTTTGCACTACTGCGGTCACTTCCACTTGATGGCCTCTTTCCAGTCATCTTGAATAAGGGTAATGCACTGTACTGTACTTACTGTATGTTTGTAAAAGTTAAATCCAACTGCTGGGGCGAGAAACATGCGCGCACACTGGATGTAAACAATGGACTGACTCCGCGTGGCGACGCCACGCTTGGCGGTAGCAAACACCACGAAATCCACACCAAATAAATTATAATTTTTAACAAAAAATTTAACTTTATAGAGTGATTTTTTTTATTGTTAAAATTTACCCCAATTTCCGTAAGGGCGGATTTACAGGCCGTAACGTGAAATTATTGGTCATAATTTACAAATTCCGTAAGAGCGAAATTCCGTAACCCGGGCTTCTGTAACGCGGGGGATGCCTGTAACTCTGCTTATCTAGACTGTTTCAAGAAAATCACTTGATACAGAATATTATAATGTTATTACTGGTCATCAATAACTGAGGTTTGTAAGTGCATAACAAGGTTAGTAAAACACTATTACATCAACAAGGAAAAATACGAGATAGAACTGGCATATAAGTCGACCCCCCTTTTCAAGCAAAAAAATTTGGTTATAGAGGTATACCTACCATATAAGAACATCACAAAATAAGGAGTCTGCAATCGGCCAGTTGGCCTGTGCATGGCAGCTCCTGTCGAGAGTTACTACCACTCTCCATCATCCATGAATCTATCTAGCCTCCATTTAAAACTTCCCAGCTTTCCAGCACTTACTAAAAAGTTGCTAAGCTTGTTCCACTCATCCACCACACTATTTGTGAACCAGTTCCTTCCTATCTCCCTCCTAAACCTAAACGTTTCCAACTTAAATCCGTTGCTATGAGTCCCCAGCTCCAGCAGCTGTCAAGTGTTGTGAAGGACCAAGTCAACCATCAAAACACATACATAAACAGTCAAACAAGCCACTCTTTCATGATGTCACACACAACGTCATTAGTGACTGACCCAACAATCACAACAACACTGAACTCAGTTGACTTCCTGCTCATTCCACCAGTCCACACACAGCCATCAATAACAAAAGGTGTTTAAATAAAACTACTGAGAAAAGCTTTATTTCATCCATAATAGAAATAGGGCAATTATATTAAAGGTAAATATGAAGGTTGTAATACGAAATACTCTCACTTACGGTTCATGAATTTAGAGGCCATCATTTTATACCCATCGTATAAGTCGACACCCTAACTTAGGAGATTAAAAATTTAGCTTCAAAGGTCGACTTATACGCCGCCATATACAGTAAGTCTGGTTGTCAACAAATGAGGCATTCCGCATTAGAAGGGGGTGATGCGCCAAATTCAAAAAGCTGAGAAAAATGCGCTTAAAGTTTTTTGAAGTTCAAACAACCATAACTTTTTTGTTTTTTAAGCTCGAGGGTTCATTTTTGTTTTATCGTGCAGCTCAATCCCTCTCCTAGCGAACTGTAAGTTAGGACTGTGAATAATTATTATTTTAACGCGAGTTGAATGAGAATAACTACCCGTGGTGTACAGTTGTTTGATCTTCAAACCAACAATAGGTGCGTTTTTCTACAAAATTTTCTTATTATTGTCGGCTAATACTGTATAGCAAGTTAATGATCACCAAAAACAGCATTCGTCTTACACCCCCTCCCAAAAATAAAAATAAAGAAAAGAAATAATAATAAGAAACTTATTTGCCAATCAGTTTTTATCTTTCCGTCCCTATTATTAGCCAAAGATTTATAATATTGTTAAGTATAATAATGTGTAATAATAAGGAAACACCACTACACTCATCCCCCCCCCAACGTAATTAACATACAAATACAAAGGAGGAGAAAGTTTGCATAATCTTTGGTAAAAAAAGTATTATGATAATAATACATGTACTGCAATCTTACTTTGTTTAGTTCCTTTGTTTTATTATCACTGAAAATTGTAGTAACTTGAAGTTACTATACATAAATCCTGAGGAGTGCGTATAACTTTAATGGCCTCGTCATAATCGATCATGTACTGATCAAAGTCTTTCTCTGCCCTCTCTAAAAATTGCCACACAGATTCTTCATCAACTAAATCATTGATTAATTATTGATGCCGGTAACAGTTCAGTTTCATTATAAGAATGAGGTATGGGCTCGCTTTCACTAGCATTCGTTGGGTCAGGCTCACTTTCATCACTATCAAGGTCAATGAATGTCTCGTCACTGTCCACTTCAACCTCCTCACAGTCTGTATGTTCTTGTTGTGATACAATAGTGTCACTGTTTGTGTTACCATTAGACTCACTTTCATCATTTTCATCTTCACTTTCATCGTCATTATTGCTGTCGATGCATGTCACGCAACTCTGTACCGGAACACAGTCTGCAAAAAGGTCTTGTGATGCATAGCAGTCACTTTTTGTATTATGAGTATACCAAAATCACTATCACTATCACCAAGCATTCCTAGGGTGTCCACGTGAGCACTGTAGTCACTAAACACACGCTCAGGAACAATAGGCTCCTGAACCCACACCAGAAGGCTTGGCCTCACTCAAGTCTTGCTCTAATATCGGGCAGATATTGCACAGCACTTCTCACACCAATGGAACACGAATAACGTCAATGTTACGCCAAAAAGTTATCAAAAATAGCAGTAGAACGTATACTGAACCTCCTCATGCGATACAATGAGCCAAAACTAACAAGGAGGCAGCATCTGCGAGTACGCATTGGCCGAGCAGCTGTGACGTAGCAAGGGGAAATCCATTGTGATTGGCTGCCTCAGGGGGTATGGTCCGTGGGAGGTGCGCTGTCATTGGCTCGCGCTCCTCTCACTCTGAACGGGATGTTGCCACATTCTTTGACTGAGTGCACAGCCAGATACGTAGCTCCAGGCCTGAGGCGAAATCATACCTTATTTTTGAAGGATTTTCTTCTATATTGCTATTCTAGCTAGAGGGTTACATCCAACACCAACATGTAAAGGAAGGGTGAAAATAGTGATATCCATTAAAAAACGCATTTTGGCCGGGGTGTCGCTTCACCCCCTTCTAATACCAAGCGCCTCAAATATTTTCACCAATATGATTGTTATGTACCGTGAAGTGTTATAATTATATACGTAACCACGTCATGGTCATAATTGCATGTCTGGTAATTTCAGCATTTCATTACTCATATCAAGCTCCACCATCCACAAAACGTGTGAAACTAATGAGTTACCCCTATTAAGAGACTTGTTTTCCCTAGAGAGAGGTATATTTCCATTTTCTCTCTCCGCCTGAAGTGCCCTCCTGTACAGTGAGTTCTGCTATAACGCGTGTTTTGATAACGCGAATTTGCTCTAACGCGATTCATGAATTAGGAACGATATTTGTATAACGCGAACGCTTGTTTGCTATAACGCGATTTTTGCTTACTAGTTCTCCAATTTTGTGGTACAGTGGGGTATGCTATAACGAATCTAATTGGTTCTAGAACCTTGTTCGTTATAGCATTTGTTCGTTATAGGATTAATCCGTTCCAGGCCCCCAAATACAACCACTTAACACTGAAAAATATAATATAAAATTGTAAAAATTGTAAAATAAGTGCATAAATATGCATCTAAGCCCCTGAAATAAAGAATATCATTAATATTTGTAATAAAAAAACAATAAATTAGAAAAAAAAAAATTAAATAATGTTCGTTGTAGGAGTTTCGTTCGTTATAGCATTCTCAATTTTATAGGTAAAACCGTTCGTTATAGGAATATTCGTAGTAGGATCCGTTCGTTATAGCATACCCCACTGTATTAACTGTGAATATAGTAAAGAAGAATATCAACAAGAAGCGTTCTGGTGATAGAATTCCCGGTGATGATCGTAAAAGAAAGGATATAACACTTGAAGAGAAGCTCGATTTTATCAACCTCAAAATCACCCTTCTCCCCCATCAAGTAAAGTGTTACATTTACTGTATGATTTCATTATTAGATATGAATGTAACATTTATTTAGACTGTGCTATCCTTTGTGTTAGGCTAACTACTAAATTTTTTCGATTTCGAGTAATCTGCACCTAACCCTATTTTCTCCATAAGCCCTGTTATTTCTATTCCGCGATTTTCTATTAAACAATATTGTACAAGAACACAATTATCGCGTTATAGCAGAACTACCTGTAATGTAAATTTTAAGTTATGTTATAACCTGTATGCGTAGCTGAAGCATTCAAGATGTATTGAGCATAGGTTGAAAGCTTCATCTGTCTTTGTATGTAGTGTAAATTTTGTTAAAACCATGTGTTTTAAGTGTCAACCCATCATCTGGAATCAATTTATGTCTTTTGTGAAGTTATGGGATAGTAATTCAAAACTGTAGTTGTATTTCCTTGATTTACAGACCTCAAAAAGAATCTGACGAGTGTATTGAAATTCGTGTCAGTTTTGTATTTTGGAAACTCATTAATCTCGAAAGCAGAACTTGTTAATTGTAGGAAAGCTGAAGTGTAATACTAGACTCGTGGATAGAATGGATGTTGTGGTTTGTGACTCCACCCACAATGCATTGTCATTCTATGAACTGGACATCAGTTTAATTTTTGCATGGCGAAGCTCACACACTAATTAGATTATAAAAGTTAATCTTAGAATATTAATATAAGCTCAGCCTAATTTTCATAAGCCAATGTGTACAATAAATGAGACAGATAAATATGTGTGTGAAATTCCCGACTAAATAACCCAGAGTGCATAAAAGAGAGCGCACATTTTGAATTGGCCATTCTAAAAGCCCTTTCCCTCGTCAACCAGGTATGTTGCTCTGTGTCTCACCATCATATTAAGTGAATTTGACCTAGTTGAATTGTGTTGAATATGACAGTGTTACTGTTAACGTAATTGAAGTCTTGTGTGTTAATGAAATTATGTTCATGTGTCATCTGTTTCCCTACACAAAACATATTTTGTGAGTCGTATTTTGATTACATTTCATTCATTCTGAATGCCCTTCTCCTCGTCAACCAGGCACTGTGTGGGTTGCTGGATCTGCTGGGAGGCAGTAGTCAGCGGAATCTATTCGCCACATCACAGTGTAAATGCCCAACTTGTTTTGAATACAAAACATATGGCATTCTTGGCCCAAGCCTTGGTGTGGTAACATCTTGTATGTATCCATAATTGTTGTCTCAAGGATCTGACTTTCACTTAGCAAACAAATACTGATGTATCCTGTGATTTTAGGAGTTTAAATATAGGTATAAAATTGATAAGAGACGAAAGGTAAGATTGTATCGTAGAGTCGTGATAGCTGTGGGTGCCCGATTAACCTGTATCCCCAAGTGTTGAGAGTAATAATAATTACTGTACACGAACAATCTTGTGATGGGTGTTTGAGAAGTGCTATGAATTGTTTGTAGGTATTATCTCTGTTAGCCGGAATCCCTCAAACCCGGAACTCTCTGACAGCCGGAAATGAAATTTTATTGGAAAATTGTTCCCAAAGCCGGAATTTTCCTGAAATTTCCAGCTGTGGGAACAAATTTCCAAGGGAGCACATTTTAGGAAAATTTCTCAAAATTTTCTCAGTACTCAGAAAATTTTGGGGAGAGGGTTCTGTAGTTTTTTCCGGATTTGAGAGATGAAAATCGGGTGCTTTTTTGGGATTTGAGAGATCATGTAATGCATCATTCTAGAAATTCCATGATCAGTTTTCCGTTACCCGAAAAATTCCGGGGATGAGGGATTTTTTCCGGCTTTGAGAGTTGTCTCGTTACCCAGAAATCTCTCATTCCCGGAAGTGCTCTGCACCAATTGTTCCTGCTAATGGAGGTATCACTGTATTTTCTTAAGTATGCATTGTAAAGCAATATCCAGTTGTCCAGAGTACCCTCAGACATTCACCTTGTTATGTCTGGCGAAAGGAAAATCTTTGCATTGCTAATAAGCTCAAAAATGAGTTGCTTCGTTCATGTCATCAGCGAAATGCCCGGTACCCCCGGGTGTTACCTTGTAATATCTTGTTACTTTCTGGGTTTTTTAGTTGTTTTTTCTTGTCCTTTGTGTTTTCTGTTGGTCCCTCGGTTAACGAGCACAATTCGTTCCAGAAGGTTGTTCGTTAACCGAAAATTCGTTAACCGAAAAATTCGTTAGCCGAAACCATTGTTTCAATGGGTTTTGGGGTAATTGGTTCCAGCTCACCAAAAATTACATACAAACTAAAAATAAATGCAGTAAAGTACACTTACTTTGAGGTGTGCATGTACAAGGCTCCTGGTTGATGATGATGGGAATTAGAATGGGAGTGGGGGAGAAGGGAGAAGAGAAGGCATTGGGGTGGAAGAGAAGTCACCCCATGCCGCTATTTCACCCATAAAATTTTAGTTCACTTGGTGTAATTCAAGATTATTTTCTTTAAATCAACACTGCACTGTGCTATATATTATCAATTTGTAAAATATATTTCAAAATGATCAATAATTTGACTAGAAACACAGAAAAAAACGTTTATGTTGAAGAGTCTCAAACAAGATGTTCCTTCCTCTGAACTGGTAAACAAACTGACGCCAAGCTAGGTGTGTTGAGTGGCTGTTTGGCGTGCAAAAAACTAGTTTCCTGGACTTCAATTACAGTCGACACTCGTTAAAACGGACTAATAGGGGGGGGAAGGGTGTCCGTTTTAGCCGATTGTCCGAATTAACCGATTTAGGGGTTAATATTGCATTATACAGCAATGTGTATGTTCATTTGAGTGCCCCGTCATAGGAGTCCGTTTTTTCTCACTTTAGCACTCCTGAGTCATCCGTTTTCTCTTAATCTTAGAGTGCACCAGAGACTGTTATATCTTAGTAGTGACACAGAATTTGATATTGCAACTGGGGTTGCAATTGTTGAGGCAACTTAGGTATGTCTGATTACAGTTGGAATATTCAAGATCCATTGTGAGTGATGTTTAAAGCTTCAACTGTCTTTATGGTTGGTAAAACTTGTCAAGTCTGTCAGTCTAAATGGCATGTGTGAGGCCTTGTGTTTGTACAACCGCTAAATATATAAATATATAATGTTATGGTAATTATCAGAAACACATAGGCATAACGAGGGTTATTACAAAGTGATGAAAAAGATACTGTACAGTGGCTAGCCCACAAAACATGTAACCATGTCTCTTTATTTGAGTGCCCCGTCATAGGAGTCCATTTTCTCTCACTTCAGGACGCCTGAGTTGTCCATTTTCTCTTAATCTTAGAGTGCACCAGGGACTTTGTTATTTCTTAGTAGTGACACAGAATTTGAAATTGCAACCCCAATTGCAACTGGGACAATCCCAGAACCAGAAATTTGATATAGACAGTTCAGATTTCGTCCGATTTATCTGAAATACGGTTTAAAGGGGTTTGAATTAACGAGGGTCGACTGTATGTTCAATAATTGTTAAAATGATTAAAAAATTTAATATAAAACTTTTAAAATTATTGAATAGTACAACCTTCTTGATATTTACTAAAATGGTAAGGAATTTAAGCCCTAAAACCGATTACTGTATTGGCGGACTAATACTACAGCTGGTGGGCAGCCAAATGCAGGCGAAAACATGTTGGGAGAAATTTGTGAGGAATTCGTTAACCGAGGGTTTGCTCGTTAACCGAAGTGAAGAATCTTATGGAAGGTAATTCGTTAACCGAGATTTCGTTAACATAAGGCATTCATTTCGTTATACCTGGCCACAGAAAAGCATTATCCTTACAAGTACAGTACAGGGTATTTAAAAAAAAAAAATCAAAACTCAACCAAGGCAAGGTCATAGTCCTTGGTCAACCTCTGGTCACCATGAGTAGTGTGACGTCATTGAATGGGGCGGAGCTAAAGTTTATGATGTTACAGCAGTGTGTCCTTACTGTATGTATTCCTTGGGCTGGAGCACTTCAGTGATTCCCCAAAAAGCAAATTCCAGTGTACATACAGTATATCTCGATTTATGGCTTTATGGCTAGTTCATATGGTGGCAGCTACTGTGACTACGAATACGACATACCAGTCTACATACCAAGGCGTCAGTGTTTTGTGAAATAAGAAAAACAAAAAACAGTGACGTATTACATATCCGAGTGTATTGCTATATCCCGTAGTGAGACGATTGTAGTTGAGTGTTCCTCATTCTGTCTCCCATAGTGGTGTACAGACTTATTCCAATTACCGATACTGAGTTATTGTTGTCTTATTACCATACGGCTAGTTAGTGATACCCCTGTTTAGCGACAAGTGGGGGCGGTCAGGAAAGCGTCTTGTCAGCATAAGTTTTATGGCCAGTTCAAGTACAGTACAAGAAAGTGAGGTTACCAGCCCCACACTGATCTAAAGTTCTCACTAAGCAATATACATACCCCCCATGGGTTCCAGAAGTTGTAGCAGCCATTGGTATGCATAATATCCACGTACTTGGCATCTGAGGAATCTATACGTTCTTTTGCTGGCACCTGATGATACTCTAGTCCAGCTGGGTCCAAACCTGCAAGATCAAAATAGAAAAAAATCCATTACTGCAAATATAAAAGAATATTTCATCCTAGCTAATTTTTCTAAAGGGAATGAACTAGAAAACAAGGCAACACAATGAAATAAACATGAGACCAAACACCCACACAAAAAATTGAAAAGAATAATTTAGTTTAAGAAGTCAAGACTAATCCTCCCTTGAAGCAACAATAGCCTGTGTATGGAAGCCATGCAGTAATGGACAGTTTAGTAAAATAAAAAGCAAGTACAATACAGTATTCATGTTCCAGAAACAACTATGTATGTCTCCTGTCTTCTTGAATGACCTTACTGGTCTTTCAAGCTTCAACCACTATTCATTCCTGGCAGACTTGTACACTAACCCATAGGAAAATGAATGGTTTCTGAGCTGCCTAGTTCTGGGGTCTACCATAAAATAGTATTTAAGGATAAATACTGTTTCTCAATTGTGGTAGGCCAACATGAAGCAGGAAGAGATGACATTAATATTTAATACCAATGTGGCACTCTACCCACAAACTGAAAATAACTCTACTTTTAGTAATTTTTATAAATGACAAGGATGACCTTACAAACTTCCCAATTTTAAAACTTCATCCCAGTAGTTTCTTCATCCCAAGATCACATGAACACAAGAACTGATGATCAGATACTTCATTGAAGAATAGAACTTATGCAGATATCCCACTTAGCTAATTGCAATGCATCTCCTTAATCTATGTGAGAATGAGTAACAACTCTGAGGCTTTGTTGATTTGGTGGTGGTTCACTTGAGATTTTGGTTCGAATTGTTTGCAGAGTTCAGGTGAGAGGTGTGTGGGCATTGGTGGCAGGAGTCACGCAGCATCTGCGAGTGAGGCAGCCAGGATCGCCCTTGCTAGTGGTGTGCGGAGGGTGTGTGTTCCGCTGTATTTTGCTGAGCAATATTGACTAATAGGTATGTATGTCTCCAGAGTGATATTGGAATTTTGGTCATAGTATATTAATTTACATTCAAAGATCATAATGAATGATGTTAGATATTAAGTAGGGTTGACTGTTTTTACTGTTAATGAGCATGCAGGAGCAGAGGTGTGGCCTGACAGAGAGCCATTTCATATGTGGTGTACACACAGGGTCTTCCCAAGATAATTATTCAAATCTGCCATTATTAGTGACATAGATAACAGACATGGCATGAAGCTGGATTTGGCTTTGAAAGTTTCTGAAGTCTTTGGGTTTAGGCTTTGAAAGTTTCTAAAGGCTTCAGCTTTGGCTTCAAAGCCAGAGACATGGCAATGGCTTTGAAGTCACAGGTCTGGTTTCAGATTTTCTTCTTTACACAGACACACTGACCATATTGTGACATCACAGCTGAGATGATCTCTGGCTTTTCTGTTCACACAATAACCTGACCTGGTAAGAAAGCCCAGATGCAAACTACAGCCTCAGTGATGTCACATTTGATCCCTCTGATTCAATTAGTCTATTCTCACATTGACCTGACCTGAACCTTGGATAAGTACCACCTCTACCGACCTGCCTCCTCAGGCCCAGGTGTTTTTGGCTGACCGACAAAACCTTAGAAAACCTCGAGATGATATTGTTGCAATTGGTGGTGTTATTCGTGACTGGCCTTGTGGTGACCCTGCAACTGAAATGGAATTTTACTGCCTTTATTAACAATGAGGTGATGTCACATATTGTGGATGAGACAGTAGTACCTTTTCACCCCAATCTCGTGTACATCGTTGGGTAGACTACAGTTGATGAATTATACACAATTTTTGCACTCATAATGTTGAAGCCTCTCAACAAGAAACACATAGTCCAGGATTACTGGTGTATTGACCCTCTAATAACTGCTCTTGTGTTTGGAAAATTTATGACAAGGGACAGATTTCTCTTACCACTGCACTTCCTCCATTTCACAGACAATAATAACCCAGTGGAAGGATACCGGCTGTGAAAAGTAAGGACGTGTTAGCCATGATTGTGAGAAAGTTTTTCATTTTTTTTATCCCTTCAGGAAAACCGTGATTGGTGAAAGCCTGGTACTTTTCAAGGGTAGACTCACATTTAAACAATATATACCAACGAAGAGGCATCGTTTTGGAATAAATATCTTTGTACTATGTGACTGCGAGACAATGATTATCCTGGACATGACTGTGTACACAGCTAGTGATGTGGACATACCAAAGAATGATCCCTTGGGATTATCTGCTGCAATTGTAAGAAGCTGATGGCTCCATATATGGGAAAGGGTCATGAAATGTACAAGAGATAGGTCATACACTACTCCTGCTTTGTGTCGCTTCATGCACGCACATGCCACTGGAACTTGTGGAACCATACAAAAGAAAAGAAAGAATATGCCAAAGTTTGTTGAGAGAGCCGATTGAGGCCACTGTGAATTGCAAGTCTGGGAAAGTCATTGCAATAAATTGGCCAGACAAGTGACAGGTCATGATGATCAGTACTTTGCACAAAGGTGAAATGAAAGACAGTGGGAAGATGGACTTTAGACCTCAGAGAAAATAATGAAACCTGACACTGTGATAGACTGTAATGAGTGTATGCAGAATAAGTCTAATAACCCTGGATATAAAAGTTGAGAATTATCACCACTGCAGAATAAGTAAAAAAAACTCTGGATATAAAAGTTGAACGCACATAAAATTTGTCACTTTGCAGGAAGATCAAGTAAAAACCCTCAGATCATTCACAAAACTTACTGTGTAAAATTCCACAAAGCCTTGAGCCTTTGAAATCCACTTAATTAAATCCCTTAAAATAAAGGAGACTTGCATAGTAACATCGTCTCAATACAGCTAGACCCCGACTTACGACTGCTTCGACTTACGACCGTCGGGACTTACAACCGCCGCAGTTGTGACCATTTTTTTTTCCAAATGACACACGCATTTTCTATACCGAAACGTTTCCAGTTAATGTAGTCTCCATGTATAATTAGAAAATTATGGGGGCCCCATGTGCATTCAGCTGACTACATTAAAGGTAAGTGCTCAGTCACACTGTATCCATTCCTCATTATTTATTACTTTCACTGTACTGTATTCATTCCTCATTATTTATTACTTTTACTGAACTTTATTTCATTGTAGATTTTTTATTATTTTTTTTTATGTCGGACTTACAACCATTCGGACTTACGACCTGGATTTGGGTCCCTAACCCCGTCGTAAGTCGGGGTCTAGCTGTAGTAGGTGTCACGTGTAAGTCCAGTATCAGGACCTAAAGTGACCAGGCTACAACACCAAGACTGGTAGATACCATGGACAGATAATTATATCATTTCTATATTCATTTAGGGTAATTCACAGACTTAAATCAGTAGAGTACAGAGCCAGTACCTCACAGGGAGAAGATAATCGAGGCGTTGCAGATATTAGTGATGACCTCGACATGGATGCAAAAGTCCATTTTTTATTAATATCAATTCCCTTGAATCTGTAGAAGTAAATTGGCAATGTCCCAAGTTGCAAGATCGCCATCAGTATCAGGTAAATTACACTCATTTCAAAGGGTCTATGTTGGGCAAGCACGTGTAATATCAGTGTTCGACCTGCGGATACCAGCAATGCCCTGGGGAGGCAGCTGGGCCTTCTCTTTCCCCCAAAAATTTTGGTTTATTCTCACAATAAGGTAGATACATTTCCACACTATAAGGTACAAATCCTATGAAAGTTTACTCATATTAGGTTGAATTACAGTCAACCCTCACTTTACGCGTTCCCACATTGCGCGTTTCCACGGTACCCTGCTGAAACCGGAATGCTCACTTTCCGCGGTGCGTGTACCCCTTTACGCGGAGAGCGACGCGAGCAGGGTGCGCACAAGGTCGCCCAGTCATCAAAACATTACCGAGTTCTTCACCCGCCACCCACCACAGCCGGCCCAAGTCAGTGATAGTGATAATGATAGTAAGGATATGGACTTATATGGACTTTGAGGGTTTGACAAAGAGGCCCTGCAAGCCTCTGTGGTGGATAGTGATACAATTGATACAAGTGATACAGGTGAGGGCCAATAATCTGCCCTCTGCCTCGGAACCAACCCCCCATCCCCGTGTGCCCAACCATCTTTTCTACTAATGTAAGTGTTAAAAAACCTAATATTATTGATATTTCTCTTAATTAGTAATTGTGTGTGCATACCATCATAAAATTAAGAAGTTATTTTTACTACAACGTAGGTATTGTGTCTGAAAAAGTGGAGTTTGGGGGTCGGCCCGGTCTCTATTTCAATTAATCCCATATGTTATGTTGTTCACTTTACGCGGGCCGCCGTAGGTTGAATTAACCGCGTAAAGTGAGGGTTCTCTGTATTGTCACTTTTTTTGCAAACAAATTTGAAGCTTGTTTTCTCGAAACATGATTTTGGCATGAGTGTCACTAATAGCCACAATGCCTCATATAGACCAATGTAAATTATAACAAAGCTAACTGTACACTTTCATCATAAACAAGAAAAGTTTACTGCTCAGCACACACTAATATTTGGTCCCAATACAGATGGATATATGGAAAAATTTCCTAACTTTTACGTCCCAGAAAGTTAACAGTAACTGGGTAATATAAAAAGTTGCTGGAATTGACAAGTGTGAACAGACAAGCAGTGGCATTGACTGATGTAAATATACGCGTAAAAGGAAACATATCTGAACACATTTCAGCAAGAAAAACAAATGAGAAAATAGTCTTTCCTTAAGAGAAAACCACAAAGATCCAATGACCTTTCTTCATAGAATAATAAGATTCATATACTTGGTAAGGTCTTTTTGGAGAACTGTTCCTAAAATAACTATTATTTGTAGTCTAGCCACAGTTAACACAGCATAATGGTCAATTTGGTTTTACATCATATCAAACAATTTAATTAAACTAAAAACAACTGCAGACAGAAATTGTGTGATCCCTTCCATATTAGTGACTTAAAAGTTATTAAATAATCAAGGCATAAAGAATTAATTTGTACTTTCTTCAAAATAAGAAAGCTTTACATATGTTAAAAATCATTTTCATGGGAATATAGTAGAAAAATTGGGAAGTGTGTTCCACCAACTATTTTGGATATATGCTTAACCACTCACTGTCTCACCATAGCCAACCACCATCCAGGAGAAGTGTCATTACACCACAGCACTCTTACTATGCTAGGACTGTGCATCATATGTTACAGCTTTCTATGCTGTGTTTATGCCGTCTGTGAAATACATACAGTAATTCCTGTACCTTGCACAAAGGTGCACCATCAAATACCTCACACAAGACACATATCATCCAAGTTAATAAAATAACTCCTATATAATATAATAATAATGGGTTATGTCACAAGAAACCCATAGAACTGCAATGAAAAGTTCAAATTCCAATAACGGAGTATCATTTCCAGCCAGAGGTGGGCCTACAGACAGCACAAATCAGTTTTTGTGATTGTTTTATACATAAGGATGATCACTGACAAGATAAATGTGAATGGTGGTCACAGGGCGAGGTAAAAAATCAGGCAGATGTGCCATAGTGGAAGCAAGAGGTGAGACCAGGTAATATTGCCTAAACTTACACCCTGGTGGTAGTGGGAAAGGAGAATGCTGGAATAGAATGATAACAGTGCCAGTGGTTGTTGGTGCCAATGGTCGGTGGTGTACATGCATGGTGGTGAAGAAGGCTGGTTGTGCAAATAGCTGGTGGTGTAATAATTGGACATTCAAATCATTAATAAAGTAAACTTTGAGGTCAAAGCTGTCATTAAATTTTGAGTGAAAGTACTGTCAAAGTATTCTAATAAACTGTGAAATATTAGAATGTTGGGACACTACTGCCAAGTCACTTACACAGAAGTGTAATACTGTAGTGAAGTTGTGGAGGAAGGTCTTGTAGGAATAAATTGAAGAGGGTGTTTTATGAGGAGGGATCTGACACTAATGGGCACAGTATAGTACTAGTTTGTGTGAAATAACAGGGATAAACTACACGGCTTGTTAAGAAAGAAAAACCCCATACACATGTTTCCACTTACTTGTGGCCATGTAAGTAAGAGAACAAAAAAGAACACATACCTGTGATACGGCCAATTTCTCCTTTAAAGGGTTTTCCTGCTAATCCAGATACATGGGCACCCAAAGAATGCCCTATGAAATGTACATATTTCAGGTTTAATGCCTTCTGAGTTACTAAATTCTCAAGAAGAAGGGTTGTGTCTTGTGCCACATATGGAACATCCTTCACAGCAGTGTAGTAAGTCAGTAAAATCCATTCACTTCCAGCTGGCCAGTCCACTGATATTACATTACAATCTGACATGTTCAACAACTCTGTAGAATAAAAAATAAAAAAGTTACAGCCATTTATTTACTGGAAAATATCTTGGAACTTTGTTGGGATATAGTTCAGCAAATAGTACACAAAATTTATAAGGATCTGAAAGAAAGTATATTGTTTTTATACAACTGCTCTAACAACTTACAGGACTTTTTTAATTCTCTCTCTTGGGCCAATATTGCCCAGAATTATTGTGTGTAAAGAAATCCTATTTTAATAACATCCTACAGTAATAACTCAATTAGCCGGAATCCCTCAAACCCTAAACTCTCCAATAGCAGGACCTGAAATTGTTCCCAAAGCCAGAATTTTCTGAAAAATTCCTGCTTTGGGAAAAAAATTTTGAAGGGCACATTTTTCAGACAATTCCGAAAAAAAATTTCCGATACCCGGAAAAGTCCGGGGATGGGGGATATTTTTCCAGGTTCAAAAGATGATGTAATGGGCAATTTCTGGAACTTCCGAGAACATTTTTCCATTACCCAGAAAATTTCGGTGATGAGGGATTTTTTCCGGCTTTGAGAGAGTCGTCTCGTTACCCGGAAGTGCTCTGCACCAATTGTTCCGGCTAACGGAGATGTCACTGTATTTCATTAAAGTACTTACTACTATTTCCCTAGATAAAGGGAAAAGACAATTGCTATAACCTGTCATTATGTTCAGTATCAGGGTAAAATATCTGTCCATATTACTCACTGTCTTTCAATTGGAGAATCCATGCCTCATTTCCCCAGCCAAGAAACCCATGGATAATAATAAATGTCTGGCGTGCACTGAAGTTGCTGTTTATAATGGTGATGAGCTTAGTGGGGTCCAGAATTTCGTAAGAACTGTTGCCTGCATTTTTTCTGTAAAAAATAGACAATCCACTTCAAACAGAAACACTAATTCTCAAACTTTCAACAGTAGAATGATATAAAAAATATAATGAGCATATCTGCTAAGTGACAACACACAGTCATAATGTGACACTGCCAGTGCATTCATAGTTGGCAGACTAACCTTACCAATATTAGTTCAATTTGTAAAATGTTCAATCATGAATAAAATTCACTTATTTCCCTGTAAAGCAGTGGACTTGCCCCTTCTGCCACCATCAATATCAAACAAAGATTACAGGAAAAGCCAAAGAGAAATAGATGATTCAGGAAGTTGTGCTATTTTAGTGGGGTATGCTATAACGAATCAAATTGGTTCTAGAACCTCGTTCGTTATAGCATTCGTTCATTATAGGATTAATCCGTTCCAGGCCCCCAAATACTTAATGAAAAATTTCTGTGGAAATTGAAAAAAATACAGTACTTTATCTTACCTTAGTGTTGTTAGCATGCAGGACAGGAGGCAGAGGAGGAAGGGGGAGGAGAGAATTATGGAGAAGAGGTGGAAGGAGAGGAGTCATTCTTCCTAGCCCTCTTTGGTGACTGTCTTACAGGCACTTTGTCTGTTTATTTATAATTTCTTTCTTAGTTTCAACGGTTATTAGCTTTCTCACTCGCTTTTGACGATTCATTGTTACAATTGTACACTTGTATAACAAAATAGTTATAAAAAAAACACGAACTTCCACATCAAAAGACGAAATTTCAACAAGTTCGGTGGTGCAATATGGCGCCTGACGCTCTTGCTGTGAGCCGCGGTACAACAATATTCATGCGCCAGACGAAATAGTCCCGTATTCATCTGCGTTCGTTGTAGGAGTTGCGTTCGTTATAGCATTCTCAATTTTATAGGTAAAACTGTTCGTTATAGTAATGTTCGTAGTAGAATCCGTTCGTTATAGCATACCCCACTGTATTATAAGACACAAGGCTTTCAGTATCCAGATAATCAGTTTTATCTCATAAACTCTCCAACTCTGTTCACTTGAGATTTAGTAAAAGCACACTGAAGCTTATATCCTTACAAGTACTGTAGTGTATTTTGTCACAGGTCATGTAGTGTGGCAAACTACAAGGAACATTTCAAATTACTTTTTGCTTTGTTATCATTGTACTTTAACACTGGTCAGATTTTGTCTTAAAAGAATATACAATTTAATCCACAATAATAAATAAAAAAAAACAAAGAACTTACTTTAACCTACACTTACTTTTCTTTTACTCTTACAAATCTTTTCTGTTACCTATCCATAATCTTCAGATTAATTTCCCTTTCTCATAGCTAAACTTACCGTGTCCACAAGAAGAAGTGTTTCACCATACGCAAACTTCCTTTCACAGAAATACTTTCCAGAGAAACCTCACTATTGTCAACATCTTTGTGGCTTCTATGATCAATGTTGCTCCAATCCTCTGTAAAGACAAGATGTACTAAATATCTGATAATTAATAAAAATGAATCAAGGATTTATCCCGGAAATCCCATTTTACAGCAGAGTCGAGACTCGGAAAATCGCATATTTTACCCATCACCTCGATAGGTTGCAACCCAGGATAACCCTCTGGCAGTAAGTAAACAATTAATTCGACTGTCACCATAAACTTCGCCCTAAGAGAGGGGTCTGGGAGATGAAACCTAATGCTGAAAGTTGAGAGCTATGTGGGTCTTGGTGCTGCAGAAGCTTGTGCATGCAGACCCTCCCTTGTCTGTCATCAGCTACAATGGATTTCCAAGTGACAAACCTCAGTCCAGCTGAACCCCATGACAAAATTAATATCAAGTAGGGAGGTTCTGAGATAATTTTCTCAACATGGCTACATAATGGGATTTGCAAGTTCAATCCCTAATGCTTGTCATCAGTCCAAGAAGACTTGTGTTCTCAAATCAGCTAAAAGTATCTCCACATCTGGCATCTTGCAATGCCTTACTTTCAGTCACATATGTAAGACACAATACTGTATATTGTTGTAAGCAGAGGTTTACTGTAACCACAGCTTGAAGTAGGCTATACACTGCCGTGATAACATACTGTACTAAAGAACATACTGTATTATCCTGTACTATATATCATAGAATCACAATACTGTACTGTACCTCAATAACATGACCAGCTGCAGTAGTAAGCCCAGGAAAACCTTTACCACTTGAAAGTTTCCTATTTATTACAGCATTTTCTTTTTCAAGTTTCTAATATCATTGGAATAACAAAATAGCAAAGGATTCAAAACATAATAAAACTTGAAAAAATATAAAATAATTATTATTTTTCAAGTACGATACTTCTGGAAAATGGAATCCACACACATTACCTTCAGTTGTGGCTCCTGGTGCTTCTGAAGATGCAGTTGTTATCTCAGAAAAGAGAAGTAAGTGGTGGTTGTTCTCTGCCATGGATAAGCCCCACATCACCAGGGATAAAACCACAACTACAGCAAAATGTGTCATGATAAGCAGATGAGGCAGACATAAGAGGCTTAGTTATGATGATTTCATCTTATTGTCTAATCACTTGTTCAAGCTCAGCCTTCACACTGTTGGTGCAAGATTTATCAATCAGTTAGTAAATCATAAATCATACATCGATGCAGGATAAAGAAAACTAAAATAATTATAATTGGAAATTAAATTTTATGGTTGAGAGAAAGAGTTAAGTGACATGTGAGATTCCCCCCCCCCAGAACAAATCTGGCAGTGCATACATTATCAAGAGGCCTGCATACATTATAAGGCAAGGACACTATTCTACATACATCAGAGAAGATGCTGCCTATACAACCAAATAATAAATTGTCTTTAAACAATAGCAATAATTTAACTATCCTCCGTATTCTCTGAAAATGATACATGCCCAATGGTCACTAGAGATAAATCCTTTGTTATTCAACATTATTTCAAGCCAGCAGTCATCAACTTGGATCACTGAAGTTTGACTCACATTTATTTTTTCTCATATTTGACAACTCATGAGACTTCCAAATTCAACCACTTGTTTTATGGTCTATGAGTCATTAATAACAATGGTGCAGCCGAGACCACGAACAAGACCATTCACAATTTTAGCATTTAAAGATCACCAGAAGATTAACCCACCCAGTTAATTTGGGGGTGACAAAACTTCAGGCTGGTTACGGTAAGCTGAAAGGCAAAACTTCAGGTGATCACTTGAGGGGCATAACTTGAGGTGATCCATAAAGGCTAAAATTGTGAATGGTTTTGATTATATCACTGATTCATAAAGTACTGTATCGTGTGAGACTCTGAACACCTTAGGAAGGGATGGAGGTACAGTAGTTCAATATCACAAACAAAAACAAGACACTAAAAGGATAGTGAATACTGTATCACAAATAAAGATAAAGATAATAGTACAAACTTCCCAGCACCACACAGCTCAATGAAAATTCACTGCTCACAAGGTAAAGCTAATAGTACTGATATGACAAGGTAATGAATCACACATGCTACAATGGCAGAAGACTAATGAAATCAATATTATAAGTGTCTGATAAGTATTAATCCCCAACCTAACCTAACCTCTTGAGAGATGTTTATTACTAAATAAGGGTCTCTAAATTTTTACTAAATGCGTAAAGACCAGTAAACTTTTAATTTTTACTTTTATCCTCTTCACCATTGATCGGCTCGTTAGCCGCTTGGGCGATCGGTCACGTCTCTGTTACGCATTCTTGGCAAGTACTGGGCATGCACTGGCTCCTGAATGTATCTGAACCTGCTCCAGTGCTTGTCAAGTCTGGTCTTGAAAGAGCTCACACTCGGTGCCGTCACAACTCTCTCTGGCAGGTTGTTCCAAGAGTTCACAACTCTCACTCCGAAAAAGTTACCCCTCACAGTTTTCCGGACTTGTGGCTTCTTCAACCATGAGCTGTAAAGCAATAAAATAAATAACATACTGTACTGCATTCTCATTTGGCATCATGTGGCCAATAAAAAAGAAAAAAGCTGTTTGCAATGTTATTATATAGGGGGTCCCAGGGTTACGAACGAGTTCCGATCCTAAGGACGTTCTTAAGTCGGAAATGTACGTACAGTCTGCGCGGAAAGTGAGATCGTGTGCTGAAAAATATGCATATTTATGATTATGTCATATAAATAAAGTCAAATAACACTTACCACTTCAATTAATACTTTGTAGCGTTTCCTCTGCGCTTCAGACAGTCTTTTAGCCTTCGAGGAACACTGTCAGCAAGGTTTTGCAAGAGGTCAGGTGGCAAGTTAGCCCAGGTATCCTTGATGGCTGCCTCTAGCTTCTGGATTGATGATGTGTCGGTGTCGCGCAGACGACGCTTAACAATGGACCACAAATTTTCTATTGGGTGAAGATCTGGGCTACTGCCAGGCCAGTCAATAAAGAAAGGTACCTCAGTCTTTGAGTCACTGTATGACACTTTTAGCAGTGTGGCACGGAGCACCGTCCTGCATGAAAAGGCTTGCCTCAGCTTTATCAAATGATTCACGTAAGAAATCACTGAGCAGTTCAAGATAGTTGTACTGATTCATAATCTGGTTCTTAGGGAGGATTACTAGTTCACCAACACAATACGTAAAGCAACCCCAAACCATAAGCGAGCCAGGGTGCTGAACAGTCTTTACAGTGTACTGTGGGAGGTGTGCGTCTGAGTGGGACGGACAGTACACCCTCCCTCCACTAGTACCAGTCACAGAGAACGTAGCCTCGTCGGACCACAATACACTTCTCCATGTCTCTAAATCCCACACTTCATATTTCTTGCAAAATTTCACTCTATCTTCCTTCTGTCTCTTCGTCAACAGAGGTTTACGATGGGCACGAAAGCTCTTAAATCCCAGGTTATCGTGGAGGGCTTGTTGAACACACCGTAACGAGACGTGACCCAGAAGACGGGGATTATTCTCTTTCACTTCACGTGCTGTGAGTGAGGGATTGGACCGAACTTGTCGAGAAATAACCTTAAGTGTCCGTGGAGACAATAATTTAGGCCTACCAGACTTAGGTAATGGAGCTGGTAACACGTCCTCTCCAAGCTCACGGAAACGCTTGACAAGATTTTGAACAACACGCAACCACACACCAGTCTGAGTCGAAATTTCTCTCAGTACATGGTTCGCTTTGTACAATGCAATCACTGCTGCAATGTCGTCTCTTGTAGTAACCCTCCTGGACATCTCTGATGGACATTATGTCGGGCTAATGCACCGTGAACAGACAAAAAATGGCCACACGGCGAGTGAACCCGAGCAATAAATCTTCCCCTCACAGTTGCCAGAGGCGCACTGACTACAAGCCATGACGCGTACTCAGTTGCCAAATGTCACCACTTGCCAGCAAACCAAGCGCTTTGACATCTCGCATCCCGAGACAGCCTTCACTACATATGATCTTATTTTCGCGATAACTTAGTTCGTCGGCCCTATCGCGATTTAATATTCCACGCAGACTGTAAGTAAGAACACATAACCAATGTGTACTATATCATAGCCAAAGTCCTTTTATATATATATATTGAGTCACTTAATTTAAGAGAAAAGAAGAAACTGAATGACAAAATACAGTAAAGGAAAGTAAAAATTAAAGTTTAACACTTACTTTAAAACCTTGGGCTGGCTGACCTTCCACCCATATCACTAATGATCTTTCTACTTCAATTAACAATCCACTTCTTTGTTTTGTTGTCACAATTGAGTGTATTGGTGTAGACTGTAGATCCTTTTACATGTTGAAGAATTTTCTGTTTATCATTCAAAATTATTCTGATCATTGACCAACTGAAGCTCAATGCTTTACATATGACTGAGGGCGTTTTGCCTTTTTCAGAAAGTTTAATTACATAAACTTTCACTTCCATTGTAATTGTTTTCCTTTTCTTGGATGCACTGCTATCACTTGCATCAGGTATTCATTTGGGAGCCCTGATGAGGGAAAAAATAGTTAATAAGCACAAAAAAAAAAAAGGTTTGCACTTGATCACATATGTTACTGAGGTGAAGGTAAGGTATACCTGCGCTCCTTTAAGGCACATGGCTTGGTACGCATTACTCCCTGCCCACCGCTCCGCCTCACAAACTAGTTCTTGTATGTTAATATTACGAACCAGCTGTATGTATGTCGGATTCTGAAAATAATAGACCTTATAGGACCTCGTTCGTATCGGCGGGTGTTCGTAACTCGGGGCCTCCTGTATACACATTAAAATACTCTCTAGTGATTCAACAACCTGAATAATGATAATATAAAATGCCCAATACAGTAGGTTGATAAATCATCAACCACATCATCATAAATGTGATTTTGTCTTCCTCATGACCCAGAATCCCTATTTTTTTTTCAAGCAGCTTATACCTCATCCTATGGAAACAAATAACTAAGAATCCTTTACTTGATTATCAGTTTTCTTGAGGTATAAAAAAAGTTGTATTCAAATATATCATTAGTCAAAACTAGCTGGTTCAGAAATGCAAGAACAGCTTAGTATAATCGCTATTTTTATTCTAAATAGCAGTTGTCAGGTTACTCAATAAACCGTCTATTCAAGATATGAACCAATCAAACTTAACTTAACCTCAACAATATTAAAATACAGTACCTGTTTAGTGTAAAGATTACTTTTATGCCTAACTAACTACATTTTGTTTACTTCTTATAATGGGTTGTTATGATTATGACCTTTATTTTTTGGGTTATGTTTATTTATGGGGATGTGATCCCTTTAACAATAACAACAGCAATAAATCCTTCCAAAGTGGATGGGGCTTTAAAGATGAGGAAATACTGTATGTGGGTTAATATACACACAAAAAATACCACACAAACCTTTGGAAATCTGACCTTACCTAACCCAGGAAAATCCTATTCATATATATATATATATACATATATATATGTATATGTATATATATATATGTATATGTATATATATATATATATATATATATATATATATATATATATATATATATATATATATATATATATATATATATATATATATATATATATATATATATATATATATATATATATATATAAATTACCTATGGAGGAAAACATAATTATCTTCTTGTTTTCAGTGTTTAAGTCTCAAGGGTCCATAACGTGATTGAGTACTTCTAGGTGAAAATTTTGTGCAGGAGTAAATCTCCCAAGTGATTAGAACTGTCCTCTGATTGGCCAAAGTACATCATGTGAAGTTCATGTGAAAGAGATTTGAATATAATAGTCAGTGAAAATGTGTTTAGCGAACTAACAATCCTTCAATATTGTTGTATCTTGCTCACATCCACTAAACATAAAACACGATTTGCAGCGTGCAAAATTTAAGTTCACAGAAACGGTGATTAAAATAAGTTAGAATATAGGTTAGATAAGATTTTCAAGGGTTGTTTGTGTGTGTGTTTTAACCCATTTCCCTTCAATTTCTAAACCCTGACCATTATGAAAGAGTTCATTTTCATTTCTAGTGTTAAGGGGGTCACATCTCCATAAATAAGCATTAGTCCCCAAAATAAAAGCCATATTCATTCAAATCAGCACAAAATACATATGAAAAAATATTTAAGTACCACAATAGAAAACCTAGTTGGGTTATTAAACGGGTAGTATTTTAATTTCAGTCATTCGGGGAATCTTAGGAATTTCACTATTGGAATCAGTAGTTTAGACAATTCTATGAAACATTTCTTCTTGATGTTTCCATCGCAAACGATTTACATATCCCGAGGGGGGGGGGGGCTGAGCCCCCTTGATATCATATTATTTCTTCCGGCTTGGTGACCTTTACATGGGTCCGACTAATTACCCAAATGTATCCGCAATGAAGTCAAATGATGGTCCTACATGAATAAATCGGGCTGTGAATCACTTCTCGATAATTATTTGGTGTCATAAAGTCACAAAAAATTGGAAAACTTACTTTAATCTGAGTTAATAGATCGAGTGCATGTACCTAACCTAACCTAACACAACACAACTCAGATTAAATTAAGTTTACCAATTTTTTGTGACTTTATGACGCCAAATAATTATCGAGAAGTGATTCACAGCCCGATTTATTCATGTAGGACCATAATTTGACTTCATTGCGGCTACATTTGGGTAATTAGTCTTTACATTGATTCTGACACCTTGAATTTCTCTCTCGTCTGGGCTTCGTGGAATACAGTCATATTTAAGTAATCTTCACGAACGTCAATATTCCATTATATAATTGAAACTCTTACCAAAATACTCCCAAATCCACACGAGCTGAATATATGGGAATGTAAATGACGTACATTACATACCCTGTATAAGAGGTTTGTGTGCAAGACCTTCTATACGTCACTCGCCAGTCAGCTGGTGATGGTCAACAAACATGGTAGAGACAATGAGCCTAAAGCAGTTAGGAAACTTTTTTATTTATTTTTTATCCTCTTTGCCACTGATCCGCTCGGGCGATTGGTCACGTCTCTGTTACTGTTGGCAAGTACTGGCCATGTACTGGGAACAAATATAGGGAAATGGGTTTTTTGGGGGAATTTTGAATATTTTCGGGAATAATTAGGGAATTTGAGTGTGTTTGGTTTATATAATACATCTTTCCTAAACACATGAAGAGAGAAAGTATTGTGGGGCTACTACATGGAAAGAAAGGATTGGCATCGTAAGAAAATAAGGAGTCTGCAATAGGCCGGTTGGCCTGTGCATGGCAGCTCCTATCATCCATGAATCTATCTAGCCTCCTTTTGAAACTTTCCAGAGTTCCAGCACTTACTACAAAGTTGCTGAGCTTGTTCCACTCGTCCATCACTTGGGATACCTGCTGATCAACTGAATTTGTACGATCATCCAAAACTGCTGAAGCTTGTGCGAAATGTCAAGAGCAATGCTTCCGATTCAGAAGCTCATCAAATCATTGTTGATATACTCAAGTCATAACTCATAAAATATCATAAACTCTAAATAAAGTGTTGGAATCAAAATTACCTTTTTTTTTTAAATTAAGTAGTTAATTTGGTATACATTTATGTTTTGATGGATTCTATACCTTAGATTAAGTACCGGTAAATACTCGAAATGTTAGTGGAGTGTTTACTCTTGTCAGAAAAACCAAAACAATAATTTTATTTTGTTTCTGCCACAAATATATTAACCAAATATTAAATAATAATGATAAAACAATAAACCACAAAAATAGTAAAACCTACAGTAAAACTTTCATTTTAAACCGATATATATATATATATATATATATATATATATATATATATATATATATATATATATATATATATATATATATATATATATATATATATATATTGATAAATCACACGGGAAAAGGGAAACAACGGAGCACCTTAGCTTTCGTCTTTATCCAGAGGCAACTGGATTACATGGACAGAGAGAGGCTTAAATAACAGGGTGACCTTATTAAACATGAGGTCAGGTCATAATGATGTCATCCACTAATCCCCACACCAACACACACGTAGAGGAGCTTAAGAGAAGAGGGGCGACGTGACTACTCAGGTCAGGTCAAAAATTGCAGCTCAGAATCAGACAACATAAGTACAATATCAGAACAGCATCTGAAAGCAGTGCCCTGTTCGTTCTGTTAGGAATAATAATCATCCCATTGCTTGGGAAAAAAGCTTAGAAGTATTCAAATCATTTTGTCACAGAAAGACTTCTGGTTGAAGCTAGTTTGATTAAGGAATTAAAATCAATAAACCTTAGTGATGGTCAGTTCAAAACTGATCATATGTTACATAATATTTGTCAGTGGCCAAAAGTTATAAATGCTTTGAAAACCTTGGATCTAGATGTAGGATAGTTATTGTGTGTGTGTGGAAATGGATTTGGGGAATTTTGATCCAATCTAGGGAATTCTTCTTCTGAACTTGTGGGAACACTGATCTTGCCCCGACTTCACCAGACTCTCATCAGAGACGCCGACACTACGCCGCCCCGACATACAAGTTCGTCTTGTGATCTTCCTCCTGATAAACCAATCGCCTCCTTCCATGCCTGCTACACGAGCCCGCTTACACACCCTGGTTGTAGCTGCTTCCCCACACTCACCTCGGCAGGCACTTGTTCATATTCCTAACCAATATCACTTAAAGTGCCATGGCAGCAACCCCCTCCACTCTGTACCGACACGGTGTTATGACACTCAGCCATGAGCTAACACAAATATAGTGAGAAATATAAGCAGGTGGCAGCTCTGACGGGTGAGCCTGGTTTGGTAGACTAGTCACACGTGTCTTATATTTATCATACACCGCGCACACGAAAATCTCACACCCTAATGTACACCCATAATAAAAGAGAGACATCCTTATCTTTGATGTAACATTACTGGGTGACGGATTTGGGTATATACGAGCATTAAAATCACCGTAAAGTTCTCTTGGCGACTTTGAGGGCAGGATGGAGTTCATGCCCACCTAATGGTAATATTCCCGCATGCCTCTTAACTTGATTTTTCGTCCAGTACAAATAAGGAAATCTCTCTGTGATTAGATTGAGTTGATTTAGATAATGTTTTCGAGTAACCTACAGTAGTTTGGGTGAAAGTCAATGCCCTTAAAATATACTCGTATGTTAAATGATCAACTAATATCTTATTAAAATAGTGGTCATAAATTCAGTGACGCGCCATGTTAGTTTACGTTTATCTAACGAGGTATTGATGAAAAAGATACTCTGAGGAACAGGTGATAAATAATGAATGATATGTTAAAACTCCGTAAACAAAGAAACGACAATGATAGATGAAACTAAACTCATCAATCCTTCCAAATTGCTTAAGCTCAAATGTAAACAAAATCTAATTATGTTCTCACACACAGTTGTGTACGCACAGTTTGAATATACTGTACAGTAATGCTTGTTTCCATAACTACCGAAACCTATATTGTCTTAGCTGACATTGCTCACTTCCAGGTATCCTACATAGTGTTACGACCGTGTCGTATTTTTTATTTTATTTTATTTTATATAACATGCTTCCATGTTGTTCCATACCTTTACCCTGTGCTGTTAAGGTTTTAACTGTTATTATTTGTTCAAGCCCATCTTATTTCATCATTTAGTATTGTAACAAGCATTCTTTGTTCTCTAACGACCATCTGCATCGTTAAACGACCCACCGGAGGGTCGCACTTGTCATTCAGTTCACATTGTTTTGATTGACACTTGTCACCTGTTACTTATACTTAAATTTATTCCTGTGTTGTCCCTGTCGCCACCAATGTGGTATATCTATGTGAGTACCTATTCTTGTCTCTTATGTGTCCATCAGTGCTTGCTTAGTTACATTTAAGTAATTCAGTGTTGTTTCACGTTAGTTAATTTCAGTGTTAGTTTTTATATGTTTATGCAGTGTTAACGTAATCCAATGCTTTATTTTATTCTTTTGATGTTTCGATGTTTAGTATCATTTGTGTCTTAAAAGTTTTGATATTGAATCAATTTGTTGTGACAGCCTACGAGGCTCTTTGTTTTGTTAATATTTAATTTAATTAAATTTTTAAAGGTTTACTTTATTTATTTTTAATCCCTTTTAATTTACTTCACTTACTTTTTGTTTGGTTACGCCTAGAACCTTGGATATTAAAGTAAATTAAGAGACGGCGTAACAATAGTCTAGTGGCAGATATTGTCCTCTGATCTCTCTCATATCCTCCCGAGATGTTGTCGAGAACATAACACACTGATATACTTATCCTTCGATGCACAAGGCGGCAGCTTGGACACTTAACAACCTTCACCTCCCTAAGTTTAAAGTTCATAAAACACTTTACTAGACGACACTAGATTGCCCCTTACACTTCGGCTATCTTTATTTTGCTTTGATACTTCAGGCTGCTCTCTCCGGGGTCTAACGACCTCGCACTGTAATACTAATGGGTTTAATAGAATGGATTATAACAATCAGCTAAACGACCGACTTGGCTCAATTAGGATCCAATATTATCTAAACGACAAAACCTGTTTCAGGACAATTCACTGGCCTAGAAATTCCTTTATAATTCCTGTGAAGAATTCTAGAAGATAATGTCATATTAGCCCACGCTTATATAATGTTAACTTTGAGTCTTCACCAGTATTGTACAGCTGCATTAAAAGTAAACACTGCCGCATGTCTCAAGGGCGTAGACAAGTTGATGATCTGAACATCTGTGGATATTCTTATAGAATGATATAGTCCGTTCTTCTCGCTTTATATACTTGTGTTGATTCTGTGCCCCTTGGTCTATCTTTCACATCAGCACTAGAGTTTTACACACACACACTATTACAGTCCTTATCCTTGATTACTGTCCGCTCTAGAATTATTGCGTACAGTACTGGTAATGTAAAGTGTTAAAAAATACCAGTTAAGTATACAGGACTATACAGTATGTATTACGGAGATGTCTCCTAATTTTAGCTTTGGGTTTATTTATGAACATAGGTTCCTATGTTGTGAAAGATCTCCATTTATCCTACGAAAAAAAACTGCCTGCTGCCATCATCCCCCAGAGGCCGCACCTAGTCGAGAAGTTAAAGTAAACGTCACGTCAGTGTTGTGTTGGCCGTGGGAGAGTAAGGTTATACGCGGGAGAAAACTCCAGCTTCATGTATGTGTCTTCTCAATAATAACTTTATATATCTCCAGGGGACTTTCTCCCAACACCTGGGCTAAAAAAAAATGGCAGGAACAGGTAAGTGACAAATCACTTGTTGCTTGTTGAAGTTCAATATTGATGGATTTATAAATGTGTGTCAGTGTTTTAGTTTCTACGTAGTGATGCAAGTTGTGACGGGAATATATATTTTAATGCTAGATGTTAGGTACTCTGTAGTGGACCTTCCTAGACTCGCTATTAAAGAGTGACCATCACACGGAACTGTAGTTAGCGGTCTACCTCCAACATTTCTCACAATGCCATGGTTTTATGATCATTATCACACAATATTATCTGAACTATATAACCATGAGGGCTTCAAAGGAGTTCACGAGTTACGAAAAAAAAGGGGGTAAATGGAATCATGGTTTTCCAATACGGTCTAAGGCTTAGACTCTAAGCTCTAAGCCAATGGTAACGTTAAACCCCACCAGTGAAGCCTTGAGCTTCTGTTAAACACCACATGTAACACACGTGTGCTATAGCCCTATATATATATATATATATATATATATATATATATATATATATATATATATATATATATATATATATATATATATGTGTGTGTGTGTACACACTTACGTACCTATAGGTTGTTTCATAAGAACATAAGAAAATAAGGATTCTCCAATAGGCCGGTTGGCCTGTGCATGGCAGCTCCTGTCGAGAGTTACTACCACTCTCTATCATCCATGAATCTATCTAGCCTCCTTTTGAAACGTTCCAGAGTTCCCGCACTTACTACAAAGTTGCTAAGCTTGTTCCACTCATCCACCACCCTATTTGTGAACCAGTTTCTTCCTATCTCCCTCCTAAACCTAAACTTATCCAACTTGAATCCGTTGCTCCGAGTCCTATCCTGCTCGGATATTATAAGAACTATCTATATCCCCTTTATTGATTCCTTTCACCCACTTAAGAACATAAGAATGGAGGAAACTGCAGCGGGCCTATTGGCCCATACTGGGCAGTCCCGTTTACACCCAAACCCTATTGCTCATATAAGCATCCAACCTATGTTTGAAGCTATTCAGCGTATTCGAGTTAATGATGATATTTGGTAACTTGTTCCATTCATCCACTACTCTGTTTCCAAACCAGTGTTTACCGATTTCACGCCTAAATCTAAATTTATCTAATTTAAAACCATTGTTACGAGTTCGCTCCTGGTTGGATAGTTTGAGTACCTTTGTAATGTCCCCTTTGTTTAGCCCTGCCTTCCACTTATACACCTCTATCAGGTCGCCCCTCGCTCTACGTCTCTCAAGGGAGTGCAAATTAAGATGCTTTAGCCTGTCTCTATACTCAAGGTTCCTAATGCCCGGGATTAGTCTTGTCATTCTCCTCTGAATTCTTTCCAAGGATTCTATATACATTCTGTAATACGGTGACCAGAACTGAACTGCGTAGTCCAAGTGAGGTCTCACAAGAGCAAGATACAGTTTTAGGATGACCTCGCTAGTCTTGTAACTAACACTCCTTTGTATGAACCCAAGTACTTTATTAGCCTTGTTACGAGCAAAAACACATTGTTTACTTGGTTTAAGGTTCCTACTTATCATTACTCCTAAATCTCCCTCGCAGTCGGATTTCTCTATGGCATCGTTGTTCATCTGGTATCTGGTTCCCTGTTTACATCTCCTATACTGAGTACTTTACATTTGTCGACGTTGAATTTCATCTGCCATTTTTCAGACCATTCGAAAAATTTGTTTAGATCTTCCTGTAGTTTTGCCGAGTCCTCGTCAGATTTAATAACACGTCCTATTTTAGTGTCATCAGCAAATTTACTTATGTTGCTGTCTATGCCGATATCTATGTCGTTTATGTATATGATAAATAATAATGGTCCAAGTACTGAGCCTTGGGGATCTCCCCGCACTCTTCGTCTTTCTAGGGAATGCAAGTTAAGTTTCTTTAACCTATCCTGATATGGAAGGTTTCTAAGTCCCGGAATCATTTTTGTCATTCTTCGCTGCACCGACTCTAGTGAATTTATATCCATTCTATAATAGGGGCACCAGAACTGAACCGCATAATCGAGGTGCGGCCTGACTAGCGCAAGATATAGTTGCATTAAGACCTCTGCACTCTTGTTACTTACACTTCTAGATATAAAACCCAATACTCTGTTTGCCTTATTTCGAACATTAACGCACTGTTTTCTAGGCCGTAGGTCCGGGCTTACAAGTACCCCTAGGTCTCTTTCACAAGTCGACTTCTCTAGGTTGATGTTGTTAAGGCTGTATACATTATAAGTATTTGTTCTTCCAATATTAAGTACGCTGCACTTGCTGGTGTTGAATTTCATTTGCCATTTTTCAGACCACCCCTGCAGTTTATTTAGATCCTCCTGTAATGCATTTGCATCCTGCCCTGAATTAATTTGCCGCCCTATTTTGGTGTCATCCGCAAACTTGCTTATGTCACTGCTGATCCCAGTATCTAGATCGTTTATGTAAATTATGAACAAGAGTGGGCCTAGTACTGACCCTTGGGGAACCCCACTGGTTGCACGGCCACACTCAGATTTAACACCATCTACGCTGACCCTCTGCGTTCTATCTTTTACTTTTATCCTCTTCGCCACTGATCGGCTTGTTAGCCGCTTGGGCGATCGGTCACGACTCTTTTCCTTTATATTCTTCACCAAAAGGTCGGCTCGCTAGCCGCCCGGGCGATCGGTCACGTCTCTGTCACGCACTGTTGGCAAATACTGGGCATGCACCGGCTCCTGAATGTACCTGAACCCGCTCCAGTGTTGGTCAAGTCTTCTCTTGAAAGAGCTCACACTCGGTGCCGTCACAACACTTTCTGGTAGATTGTTCCAAGAGTTTACAACCCTCACTCCGAAAAAGTTTGCCCTCACGGTTTTCCGGACTTGCGGCTTCTTCAATCTTGAGCTGTGACCCCTTGTGGGGCGAGCGTCCGCCAGCTCCAAGTAAGGACACTCAACTGAGTAGTGCCCCCTGAGATGCTTATAAACCTCAACTAGGTCCCCCCTTGCCCGTCTGTAGTATAAGCTAGGCAAGTTCAGGCGCTCCAATCTCGCAATTTAAAACCTCGATACCATGAGCCTTAATTTTTCTCAGAAGCCTCTGATGCGGTACTCTGTCAAATGCTTTGCTAAAGTCTTGTTAATACTAGGTCTAATATATTGTCACCTCTAGTAGGTTCTGTAATTAGTTGTTTCAAAAAATTGTCCTGTACTGCGTCTAGGAAGTCTTCAGATTCATAGTCACCTACAATGTTGTCCCTGTCAATATTTCTGAAGTTGAAATCCCCCATAATGCATAGGTTGTTATATTTTGCTGCCCTACTCATTTCCTGCCATTTGGGCTGAGCTGCTTCTTTGCCAAGACTTGGGGGCCTGTAAATCACTCCCATAATTAGTTTTTCTCTTCCTTCCGTGATTTCTACCCACACAGACTCGGTTCCTATTTCACCTTTTATTGAATTATTAATACAACATTTTAATGTATCCTTGACGAAGAGTGCGACCCCTCCCCCCTTCCTACCTTCCCTGTCTTTGTGAAAAAGGCTGTACCCTTCAAAGAAAAAGGTTGTACCCTTCATTGTAGTTCCTCGTGCACCAAGATTAACATTGACATTATTCTGGTGGGTGTTTCTCATAAGTAAGAAAAATGCCGTTACTTTAGGAAAAATCAACGTGTTTACAGACTGTCTCACTCATCTTCTGTTAAATGTCAAGAAACATCAACATTTTACTTAAAAAATTTACAGTATGATGGATTTATTTCATAAATGGGAAAAAGACTGTATTTGGAAACTGAAAATATCGTAAGGTGGACGCGATGATAAACTTTCACTGTCCGTGCTAATACAATATTAACATTACTTTTGCAGGGGCGGATCCAAGGGGATCCGGACCCCCCTCCCCCCTTTTTCATCAGAAAATTCCAATATTTTTTTCTTTAATGGAGGCGTTTTTGTATACTAAAAGGTAATTACTATTGACCTCAGAATATTTCTCAATATCAAGTGTACATGGCTTCAAAATGGCCTCAAAATGCCCATAATATTGGTCAGATTTCAATAAAAATTCTGGCGGGCTTACAGCCCTGGATGGGCTCGCTTTGCTCACCATGTTCCCCCACCCACAACTTTTGGGAACCCCCCCTTCCCCCTCGGAGATTCCTGGATCTGCCCCTGTTTTGGGTTAGGTAGGATATAAATTTCGTTGGGTTGACCCGCAGAAAAATACTTAAATTGTAATGCGGTCAATGACTGAGGAAAGGTTGCCCAAGTCTGAATTATGCATGATATACCTCATCTAATCTAACCTAACCCCGAGTCAGGTCAGGAAGAGACCTGACATACCTCAAGGACAGGTAAGGGAGGGACTCAATAGCGCTTGAGCTATTTTACCGCCCGACCTGGCTCAATAGACCCTTTCTAAAAAATAAGTGGAGGTTGTTAAGCCGGCTATTTTCCGCAGTTACTGGGCGCCACTATCAGGGGGAGGCTGGCGGGCACTTGACTGGTCCAGCCACCCCGTCGCGCGGCCCAGACCAAAACACACCCAGATTTCTTTTAACTTTAATGCAATTCTGTGGTATTTTTTTATTGCAGGAAGGCTATTTAGACTTTTTTATGTACGTATTTGTTCGTATATGAATGTGCTTATTCATTTGTATGTACGTGTGATAGTGAGTTTTAAGGTTGTGCGTGTGGGTAATGTGTGCTTCCTTATTTTATTTTAAGTGTCTGTGTGTTTACGTTAAGTGTGTTGCTCGGTATTTGAGCAGCAATTAGAGGATCACATGAACATTAGCCACCCCAGTTTGTTTACTTTAAATGGTTAATCTTCGGGTGAATTAAGCTGGGGTGTCTAATTTTCATGTGAAATAAACAGGGGATGCGTCTAATCTCAAGGTGAAATAAACTGAGGTGTGTCTAATCTTCAGGTGAATTAAGCTGGGTTATATCTAATCTTTATGTAACTCCAGATAAAGTCTGTATTCACCTCAAACTCACTCTAAACAAAACCTTTTTATACCTGTATATTCATG